AGAGGAGAAAGAAAAAAATTAAAAAGTAAGGCCGTTTAGACTGTGCGGGAATATAGGGGAGAGAGGGAAAGAAAAGCAACTATGTAGCTGAGTCCCACTCCCTGCCCGTGTAGCTGCAAGAGTTTAGTCCCTGCCCTGAGGCAGCAGTGGCAAGCCACAGGCCAAGAAAAAGCCCCTGCGCAGCCCTCAAAGACTAGGAGAACAGAGAGCAGAGATGTAAACAAAAGCTACAATGTAGCTGAACCTGGATCCCTGTCTGTGGAGCTGCAAGGGTCCAGTCCCTGCCCTGAAGCTGGCGAGGGCAAACTGTGGCTGTGCTGAGACCAAATCCCCCTACGGGCTCCAAATGGTCCCGGCTCTGGCAGAGACAGTGGTGGGGTCAAGGTCAAGCCCCAGCCGGCTTCCACTGAGGTAAGCCAAAAGCCCCCAATCCCTCAAAACCCCGTGGGTCTGTGCCTACTTATCTTTATGATGCTCCTCCTGTGTTCCAGTTGTGTTAAAGTTCCCTCTAAGCAACTCTCCTGGGCTGGATTCTTCGGAGTCCCTCTGGTATGTCATATTGCCATATCTTACACCATCCAATGTATTGGTTCCCCTACAATTCTTTTATTCGTTCCCCTCAAGTGGGGTTATACATTCATCATTTCTATCAGCCCCCTCTTTCCCCCCTGCCTTGCCTCTTCCTGTACCCTCAGGGAATCATTACTCCCATTACTATTTCTGAAGGGTTTACTGTATATACTCGTGGATAAGCTGAGTTTTTCAGCACATTTTTGTGGTAAAATTAGGTGCCTCGGCTGATATTTGGGTTGGATTATACTCGAGTATATGCGGTATCTATCCTGGATTTCATGCACAGACTGACCTTCAGTATACAAATAAACATACACAGGTCTCGCAAGAGTGACACTAAGACCGTAATAGTAAGGAGAGGAAATATTAAAGAAGTAGAGGATATTTCACTCTGGATATATCATCCCTTCTGTGTGGCCCCAGGGCCCTCCTTATGAGAAGGCCACGCCCACAAGGAGTCACCATCACCCTGTGACCTGATTAACAGGTAAACTCCACCCTACACTTTTATGTTTTTTCAGGTTGCATTAAATTATGTTACCACCACAGGATACTATAATTTGGAACCAACTTGAAGGCACCTGAGGACAACACCGTCTCATTACTCATGTTTCAGTTACTCAGTAGCCATACAGAGCTACCAAACCGGCCAGCTCAGCTTCCGTCAGGTCAAAGCTTCCCAGGAAAGTGCCTGAAAAGAAACCTTACTTAGCTTTGACAGTTCTTTATCAGTTCCTTTTGGGAAAATTTTCTTAGTATTTACTCCTCACTTACTGCTATGGTTCCTAAAACCAGGTCGCTATGCAAAAATCGATGTGCAAGAATGGATGATGGCCACACGAGATGGCAATCGGAGGACGACTACATTAGTACAGAACTACCAGATCAATCACATCATTACATAATTGTCAAATCACTGAGAGTCATGCCCGGCCAAGTTGACACATAACCTTAACCATTGCATTACTCCTGCCTCATACCTCAGCATTCATTACTGTGGGTCTACGTCGTTAATAGATTTTTACTTTTGTCATGACTGTGAAATGCTTGATAATAAAATGGAAAGTGAGGAATAAGTGTAAACTTTTTGCATGCAAGAGCTTTATAGCTTCAAAAACTCTGTTGATAGGCGGCACGGAGTTGGTTCCCACTCCCACAAGGCCCTGTGTACAACAGAACGAAACAGTGCCTGGTCCAGCACCGTCCTCACATCGAGCCCGTTGTTGCAGCCACTATGTCAAACCATCTCGTTAAAGGATCTTCCTCTTTGCTGCCCCTCTGCTCTCCCAAGGGGTGCCCTTCTCTAGGAACTGGTCTCTCCTAATAACATGTCCAACGTATGTGAGACAAAGTCTCCCATCTGCTTCTAAGGAGCATTCTGGCTGTACTTTTTCCAAGACAGATTTGTTTGTTCTTTTGGCAGTCCATGGTACTTTCAGTTTTCCTCACCAGCACCGTACTCCAAATGCATCGATTCTTCTTCTGTCTTCCTGATTCAATGTATAACTTTCATATGTATATGAAGCAAATGAAACTTCATGGCTTTGGTCAGATGGACTGTAGTCCTCAAAGTAACATCCTTGATTTCAACACTTTAGAGAGGTCTTATGCGGCAGATTTACCCAATGCATGGTGTCATTTGATCTCCTGACTGCTGCTTCCATGAATATTGATTGTGGATTCATGCAAGGTAAAATCCTTGACAACGCCAGTCTTTCATCCCTTTATGATATTATTTATTGTTCCCATTGTGAGGATTTTGCAGGGTCTTTGTTTGTTTTTTGGCATTGACTTGTAATCCACACTGAAGGCTGCAATCACTAATCTTCAGCAAGTGCTTCACATCCTTCTCGCTTTCGGCAAGCAAGGTTGTGTCATCTGCATATTGCAGGTTAATCCACCTTCCGCTACTCCTGATGCCACAGTCTTCTTCCTATAATCCAGCTCTGATTATTTGCTCAGCATACAGATTGAATAGGTATGGGAAGGATGTGAAACCCTGTTTCACATCTTTCTTGATTTTAAACCATGGAGCATTCCCTTGTTCTGTTTGCACAGCTGCCTCTCGATCCGTTTACAGGTTCTACATGAGCACAGCCAAGTGTTCCGGAATTCCCGTTCTTCTCAAGGCTACCCATGGTTTAGAATGGTCCAAGCAGTAGAATGCCTTTGCGTAGTCAATAAAACACAAGTAAGCATCTTTCTGCTGCTTTGAGCCAAGATCCTTCTGACATCAGCAGTGATATCCCTTGTTCCACCTCATCTTCTGAATCCAGCCTGAATTTCTGGCCACCCCCTGCTGCAATTGTTGTTGAATGATCTTCATCAGAAATTTTCTTACATGTGTTATTAATGATGTTGTTCTATAGTTTGCACATTCTGTTGGGCCACCTCTCTTTGGATTGAGTACAAACACGGATCTCTTCAAGTCAGTTGGCCAAGAAGCTGTCTTCCAAATTCCTTGGCATAGACAAGGGAATGCTTCCAGTGCTTCATCAGCTTGTTGAAACGTTTCAATGGGTATTCCATCAATCCCTAGAGTCTTGTTTTGGGCTAATGTCAAACCAAATAAGGAGAAAATATGTCCCTCATCCAGAAGGCAGCTGTGAACTCTGTGACACTGGATTTTAGAAGACTTAAGCTTCCTTTTCACTAAGGAAGGCCAATAGCATATCAAATTCTTGGGTTCTTGCCATTCGCCATATGTGGATGTCTTAAGCCATATGTGAAAGTCTTGTGCCAAGATACGTGGCTTAAAGCCAGCCTCACACTCACTCAATTCCAATTTATAGTGACCCTATATAAGCAGAGTAGAATTACCCCTCTGGGATCCTGAGACCTTTAACTCTTTACAAGGTAGACAGCCTCATCACCAAAGCTCACACGAATATGTACACGTCTGGATCAGATACGCACGCAGCATGGGACTTCTCAGGCCCAGGAAAGACGTGGACCTGAGTCATCAGTTATAAAAGAGGAATACTAGGGGGCCCTGGCAAGAGAGAAACTTCCAAAAGGGCAGGTGGAAGGTTAGGAGGTCTAGTGGCCCTTGAGCCCTTCCTGTACTCTGCATCCAGGGGTCCTCAAACTTTTTAAACAGGGGGCCAGTTCACTGTCCCTCAGACCCGTTGGAGGGCCGGACTATAGTTAAAAAAAAAACTATGAACAAATTCTTATGTACACTGCACATATGTTATTTTGAAGTAAAAAACAAAATGGGGCAAAAACACCCGGCGGGCCGGATAAATGTCCTCTGCGGGAGGATGCCTACGCCATTGTTGTAACTTAAAAAAAAAAGCCTCTCGTTTTGGGTCTGATTGGTACTCTGTAGCAGCTTGGGATTGGCCAGAGTCTGTCTGGCCCCAAATGGGGTGCCCAGCCATGCAGCCCTGTGGCAGAAGGTGCCATCAATGTGCCCCGCCCCTGTGCAGACTCCTCTCCTGGAAGCACGAGGCCTTACGACACTAGACTCCAGTGACCCGAGTGGCCCTTTTCACCAACATGTTGTCTCAGGCTGCTCGCACTTTTACTTTCCCTGCCCCAGTAATTGGATTGTGTGCACCTGTTTGTCCGTCAGCCACGGTAGAGGGGAGCGCAGAGCCCTGCTAATTGGCTCAGAAAGTGATTCAAATCGAAAGGAGCGGGAGCGCCTGAGCGGCCCTATCGCCGCAGCCCCTGCGCTTCCAGAGCCCCCTCACCCGCCTTCCCCTCCGCGGCCTTGGAGAAGGGCACAGGGGCGCTTTCAGCATTCATTTCTCAACTTGTCCCCACGAGTATGTCATTCGTTAATGCAACAAGAATGCAGGGCTTACATACTAAATGCCATTACTCTTGAAGGAGGGGCTTTGGTCCAATTTGCCTGCGCTGTTGTTGCCAATGTAAGTCCCTTTGATGGCCTTCGTTGGATGCTTTAATTAAACATCAGATGATAAATCAGGCATCGGACAATAAATCAGGCGCTCTTGGACTGCCACCACGAAGCCCTGTAATCCCACCACTGCTTAGCCTCCACAGGCATCCGACACATAAATTCCTCTTGCCCCACATAATGTTGCCTTTTGCTAGAAGAGTTTGTGATTGTTTAAATGCTCACTGGTCTACCTTTGATCTGAGACACCGCCCCCCTCCACTTGACAGTGTAGACAGTGTACAGGACTGGATGCATTTGCTGAGGGGCATGATAGGATTGAGCCGGGGGGCGAAGAGAGCGATGCCCTCCTCACACCTTGTGTGTCCAGGTGCCCTTTTCTGCAGGGCGGTCTTGATGTGGTCTGGTTGGGTGCCCGGGTCTTGGAGTACTTGGCGGCATGTCCTCCTCCTGATTTGTGATGATGGGGCCGGCCTCTGGGTAGGAGGGTCAGAGGAGGCCTTCTCTGTTCTCAGTTCCTTACCCCCCACCTCTGCCCCCCTGCCCCCCTCTGCTTCAGCTCAGCACTGCAGCCTCCAGACCCACCGATGGATCCGCTGACGCAAGAGTCCTGTGGGAATCAGATGACACAAACCCCGCTCTGGAAAGCCAAGTCATCTCTCTCGTTTGGCATCCAACCCCCTCAGACATGGCCAACCAAAGATCCTGAACTAGAGTCCCAGGTCAACCTGTAAGTAAGTAAAAGAAGCATTGTCTCAATATAAATTAAAAATTATATAAATTAAAATTCCGTAGTGCTCCAGGGGAAAACACGGTTTTACCTTCTTGGGGAGAATGAGGAGGGGGGCGGGAGCAAGTGTTGGAGGGGAGAGTCTGTTCTCTAGGAAGGGGTCCCTCCTTGTGTGCTTAGGTCCTTAGCAGTATTTATGGAGCAGCTGCTCTGGCCAGCCATTGTATCCAGGAGATTCAGTTCCTGTACTCAGGGGCTTATGATCATTATGCAAATAAGTGGTAGCAACATTGCAATAGGTGCTATGAACAGTATTTACAGAGTGTCTCTGATGTGCCAACAGCATAAGGGAGGTTTGAGAGCAAGACATTTTCTGAACCCTTGAGTATGAGATAATAGTTGGAAGGAAAATATGTGGATGTCACTGTATGTGTTAGTCTGGGTACTTTCGAGAAACAAATCCACAGAAACTCATGTATAAGAGAGAGTTTTATATAAAGGTTAAGTGCACATCAAGAAAACATCCCCACCCAGTGCTGCCCAAGCCCACAAGTCCAACATTAGCCCATTAGCCCATAAGTCCAACACCAATCCACAAAGCCCTCCTCCATCTCACAAAACACACGCAATGATGCCGACTGCAGGAGGAAAGCTGAGTCAGTGAACGTGTAAGCATCTCAGTGCTGGCAGGGGTCTCCACACAGGTGCTCCAACACCCAGGACTGAAGTCCATGTGGCTTCTTGGGGATGTCTTGCAGGAAGTGAGCCTTGCCAGCAGGGAACTGGCTGAGGCAGCTGCACCCTGGTCGCCCATCAGAAAGGAAGAGACCTGAGAACTCGAAAGGCGAGGCTCACAGAGCCATTTATCCCTCTGCCCTTCAACTACCCCCACGTGTGTTTACCGGCCAGGTTGGCACACTAAACTAACAACCTCACTGTACTACAGAAGACGTGCTGGTAACTAATACAGCAATAGACTAAGTCCCCTGGGGAATCTTCCTTTTGCTCCTGGATCCTCAGGCTTTGTGAGGCTCATAGTGGCTGCTGGATGAATGAGTAAGGGAGGGACTCACTACAAGAGGACTGCCAATTAGCGCTCCAGTGGAATTGGTTTCAGTAATATGATGGACTTGAGATGCTTCATCAGTGCAACATGACAAAGTTGGTAGCAGCTAACTGTGCCTAAGGCGAGGAGCCCTGGTGGCATGGTGGGTACATGCTGGAAACCACCAAGTAGCTCAGGGGTGGGGGGTGGGGGAGAGGAGTCTTTCTACCACTGTCAAGAGTTGCCATCTTGGAAACTCACAGTTCTATTCTGTCCTATAGGGTCGCCATGAATCAGAATGGGCTCAATAGCAATGTGTTTAGTTGGTTTCGTTTTGTTTTGGGGGTGGGGTGGGGAATCTAGTGTTTTTCTGAGGCTAATTCTTATCTGGGGCCATGGATCAGAACATGGAATAGGAAATTGATTCCCTTGGGACCTAAAAGCCAAATTAATCCCTCAGGCTCACCACTAGGAATTCTGACTCAGTAGATCTGGACGCAAGATCTTCAGGTACTTGTGCTCCAAGAATTCACAGCCAATCCAGGGAAACAGACAATAGCCGAATAAGCATGGTGCTTTCGAAAAGAAGCATGTATTCGTGTCACATGTGCTCACATAATTGTCATAGAATGGATCCCATCTTCTGGCAGTCCCTGTGCAGCAGAGTGGGGACTATGCTCCGCGGGGTTTTCAATGGCTTTTGGGGAAGTCATTTGCCAGGGAAGGAACACAGGGTTTAACATGCTCTGTTGCTGACAGAAAGGTTTGTGGTTTGAATCCACCAGCTGCTCTGGGAGACAGTTCTACTGTGTCCTCCAGGGTGGCTGTCAGTTGGAGCGGACCTGATGGCAGTGGGGTTTTGTGGTGTTGTGTGATTGCTAAGTTTTTCTTCTGAGGCACGTCGGGGTAGACTTGAACCTCCCACCATCTGGTTAGCAGTCAAGTTCATTTACCATTTGTCCCACTCGGGGACACCACAAAGAGCTCAGAAGTAAGTCAACTTCTGGGGTAACACTTGAACTCAGCCTTATAGGATGAACATAGGTTGGGTAAGTAAGGAAGAGAGCCTATAGGACACAGTAGAACTGCTTCTGTGGGTTTCGGAGGCTGTAAATCTTTATGGGAGTAGAAAGCTTCATCTTTGTCCCTATAGAGCTGCTAGAGGGTTTGAACGTCTGACCTTGCAGTTAGCAGCCTAACACATAACCCACTATGCCACCAGGGCTCCCGAAGGGGCAGGTTGGCTACCCGTAACAGAGGAAATTGCAGAACAAAGGCTGGAACCCATGGAGACGAGCCATCAGTGTCCATAGGCGGCAAACTAGTGGCTCTCAACTTGGGTTGCAAATCCTCAGGGCAACTTTAAACATGTCCAGAAGGCTGCATCACCACTACCACCACCACCAGAAGGGTTTTGAGGTCTAGGAAAGCACCAAGCCCCAGCAGTGTTCTTTTTTCCTCCAAGCAGTAGCTACACGTAGAACTCAATAGCACTGATTTTCCTCTTGAAGTTTTGCCATCATTCTCACTACCTTCTTATAAATGATCCCTCCGCCTTTAACATGAAGCGTGTGCTCCCGACGCGCTGGTATTTTTACAGAGCACCCCAGGTGGTTTCCACGTGCAGAAACCCTTGAGAAACAGCACTTTAAAAATGGTACCAAGACGGAATGAAAGGAATGATCAGGAATCATGAAGGGTCTGGTAGGCCCCTGACGCTTTCCTCGCGTCTGCGGCACAGCCTTGTTCGGGGCTGGGACTGACCCTAGAGGAGGCATTTTAACGGACTACTCCCGGGAGAAGCTATTCCAAAGATGGTGACTTACGGCCTCTCTCCCTTCAAAGAATGTCAGCCAGTAGGGGAGGGAGAAACATTTGCAAAGTTTTTCATTGCCTCCAAATTATCTGCTAATTCTTTTTCAACTCCATCCCTTCCTGCGATTAATTACACCCCACTGCAAGAAAGCTGGATTTCGTTACAAATCTATCCTTCAGACTTAGGTCCCCTGGGCTGTGAACTAGGTCAGCATTTGAAACCATCCGCCACGCCTCAGGAGGAAGACTGGGCAGTTAGTCTCAGACAGTCACGGGGCAGTTCCGCCTGTCCTGTAGTTGGCGCTGTGAGTCGGCATCGACACTCAGGGGTTTGGTTGCCTCCACGATGAGGTGCTGGCCCGCTCACCAGTCGGTGGGCAGTTTGAACCCCGGTCGGCCACCCTGCAGGGGACAGCTGTGGCAGTCTGCTTGTGTCAAGATTACAGCCTGGGAAACCCTTGGCAACAGTTCTACTCAGTCCTAACAATAACAGGCGGAATTAGCAATTGTTTCTTGGATCCTTGGCGGAGAGTTGTCATGTTCCAGCTGTTTATGGAATACTCTCCAAAGACTGTCGACAAGGCGGTTTACAAATACTAGGCAATTTATTTACGTCGTTAAACCTTCCTTTTCCTCCTAATGGCTTCCGAAAGTCATGAAAGACCTAGTTGGCTGCTGAGTGAGATGGCTTTAGCTTAACACGGTGCTAACGGATACACATGTGGGCTTTCTCATAGGAAAAACTCCCCCTGCCCTCATGTCTCCACGGAGGGACTTTGGCTCCAGTCCACGGAGGACAGAGATGGGATGGCGTCGTTTCTGTGTTCTCCCTCCCGCTCCTTTGGGAGCTGGCTGCTCACTGCACTGTTGACTTCACTCATCTGCCGTTTCCATCTGGGAAAACACACCTGTGTCTTCCAGAAGCAGGTGTGCAGGCCCATCATCGCTGGCCGCCTTGGTGGAGCTTGGTACTTAGGAGTCAGCTCTTCCCCGTGCAGCCAGGAAAGCGTCTGCCTCTCTCTGGAGCGGACGCTCCCCAGTGAGTCATTCCAACACGTACCCTTGGTAGTAGGATGCCTCCTTCCCTCAGGTAGGGGTGCTAGTGAGGATATTAATATTTCGCTGGCCATTTGTCTGGTGCAACGGGTTCCAAACACGGAGAAGAAAGGGGCGTGACCTAGGTTACACTCTCAAACTCCACCGACAGTCAGGCAAGTGAGAATTCGGAGCTAGATCTGGGTTAGGAGATTGCTTGCCTTTGTTTTTGTTTTTTAAATCCCCTTGCTCTTTCCTATGAAGTGCCTGGCATATGAAAGGTGCTTACGAAATGCTTGTTGAGTGCAAGCAAAGAGTAACGGAGCAGAGATGCAGTTAGGTGGCTTGTCGGACACTGAAGCTGTGAGCGAAAGTAGGGAAAGAAGGAGCGGAAATCTAGAAGACAGGGTGGGTCTTCGAAATAGCCTCAGATGCAAAATGACAGGGGCCAGGCCGCCACCGCAGCGTGGTTAGCAATGGCCACAGGTCAGAGGCAATTGACCTCGAGAGATTGTTCGATCAAATAAGGCATCTCTTCAATGTAATACGGTGCAGCCATGAAAAAGATGACATGGGGGAAAAAAGAGAAAAAGAAAGAGATGACATGGACACTCTTTTTGGTACTGATTTGAAAAGCTTAAACAAAAAAAAAGAATGAGTCAAATTGTATTCTAATATGCTACACTTGGTGTAAAATGAGGTGGCAGGTGGGGATGAAGAGAATATGTCTTCCTGAGTCTTTGTGGACCGATGCAGTGTCTCTGGGGGATACGAGGACACGATGGTGTCCTTGTGGGGAAAGGAAGGCGCCCTGGTGGTGCTGTCGGCAAGCATTGGACAACTCGTGCCCAGGTTGGTGGTTCAATCCCACCAGCTGCTCCTAAGGAACGCAACAAGGCTATCTGTTTCCATAAAGATTCACATCTTCAGATACCCTGTAGAAGGTCTCTGTGAGTCAGAATCCACTCCATGGAGAGTAAGTTGGGTTAGGGTTTGGGTTTGGATGGAGAAAGGTTTGCATTGGAAGGTTGGCAGTTCAAACCCACTCCGCGAACCTCTTCTAGAGCACAGTTCCACGCCACCGTCTGTGGAACCTGCATGAGTC